GAGAAAACAGGAAGTAGAAGAAACACTTGCCCATCATTAGCGAGCAGGAGGACGAGATGTGTACACAGGAGACGAGAGATGCTCTCTCGGAGTCGGCGGATGGTTGATGGCCGAGTCTGAATCGGCCACCGTCGTCAGAGTGCCGAGCGCTGTATGATCCGGCCTTCGGATGGGTCGCGGACCCAACGTCTTCTCGACACCGCCTGGGGTTATCCGGTAGGAGCCTAGAAGTTGGGTATCTTAGCAACTGGGGCTGGCCGATCTCCACCTGTTCAGGTGTTCCTCAAGCCGAAGGGGTCTGGGGCTCTGGGATCTCGGACTGACGGCAATCAGGACAGGCTAAACTATTTGCACGTCAGACTGCAGATGCGCCAATTGTACATACAAACACACACATACACTCATGCATACAGACATAGACAGACACACTTGCTAGCACATACGAAGGCCTGTCTGTCTCTTTGTTTTTTCTTTTGTCCTCTTTCTATGCCTTTCCTTCGGTCTCCCAACAACCTTCAGCTCCACCAAAGACTTAGCCACACTTTTCTTCTGTCTCTCCAACACAATTGCACAGGCCAGAGCCAGTAACGTGGCTGCTGCCACTGTTGCTGCAGCAGCATAGCCCTCGATCTCAGCCTCACTCTCTCACAACATGATTAAGGCAAGCTAGAGATTTTCTTATCTCTCGAGCTGTCCTTCCAACTTGTCGCTTCCTGCTCATCTCTGTCTCGTCTGAGGGTCTGAGTGCTTGCGTCGGATCCGCTTGTCTGTCTGTCGTTCGCCGATCTGAAGACCGTCAATTCGGCTCTTTGCCTATCGGCTCATCTGCTCGTCTCCCCGTCGACTAGTCTGTTTGTGTGTCTGCTCTCTGTCTGTCTCTGACTGGCTTGGCAAGCGTGAAGACAGTTCGGCCATTTGCTGTAGCGACGTTGACAAGTCCCTCCATCCGCCCGATTACCTGGCCGGCCTTAAAGTCGTCGCTGGGGGGATACACCAGACCCTCGCCTTAAGAGACAGCCCTACAACCCTGTTGGGATCAGCATCCTGTCACAAATGGCCAGACCTTTGTAGACCAAGACGAGTGGATACGCATGTCTATTGATCCGGTGTTGGCGACCGGCAGAGGGAAAAGAGAGCACAAGAAACCAGTCAGAAGGGGCAAATATCGATGAACCGGCTGCCCAACAGAGTAGGCAGTCTGGCGGAGAGGCAGAAGAGGCTGG